GCTTACCCTAACGTGATCTCCCAGCCTCCAAGTGACCATGCACACTATGTTGTTGTGGATCCCTGAACTTTTTCCTACAAAATATATTACAAGCCCTGATACCCTCCAGTATCCATTTAAGCTTCTTTGATGGTGTGGAGGTTGGTCAGGCTGTATAGGTCGAAAAAGCTATGCTTCACAAAGTCTACAGGACCAAGATTTTGCACTTGATACTATTCATTTATCAGTAGCCCTGGATGCTGAATTTCTTTCTCATGGAATAAATGATTTTTGACAGACCATTACTATGGCATGCAATAGATTTACAAAAAATAACCCTTTATAGCCACAAAGGAATTGTACCTCATTATAATTTGTAATGCTTATGTAAGGCATAGTAATAATTTCAGGTCAATTTTAAGATGTTTATCTACGTAAGATAGCATTTAACCTAGTAGTTTCATATTACATGGAATTGTATTAACTACCACTGCTTTTCAAGATTTGTTTTCTATATTTTATTTGGGCTTGTTGCTGACATATCACTCACGTTGAGTAACAATTTACTGTTCATTCCAATCAGAGCTAAACTGTGTATCAAGAAGGGATATCAGAACTTGACTTAATATGCATTACTAACAAGAATACTCTTGAGTGACAATTGTCACAGTAAACAAAAGATGGGCCATATACAGAACTAAACATACTTGTTTAAAGTTCCACCTCTACATGTTTACTCGTGTAAAATTCAGAAGTCAGCAGGAGATCAATGTAAGAAAAATTTGCAAGATTAGGCCCTGTAAGTATAGAAGGAGAAATTTTTCTCATGGCAGATTTTTAATTGATGACAAAACTGACACAATGTTTGGTATTAAACCAGTCTATAAAAATGGCTAGAACCAACAGGGTGCATCCTCTGGAACTAGCATACTGAAGTCCAGCTTGTTTTATCAAAGAGAGGATTAAAGTATGTAACACCAAAACCAGACCACTTAAAAAGAAAGAAACTCCCAGACCAGTATTTAGTATGAAGGACAATGCGTAAGTTAAGCAAATGTCACAATACTGAATATAGAAACTACATAAAGAAGTTACAAAATATTTTTGTTTAGACTTGCTTTTATAAATAAATGTTATATATTACTACTGTCTATGTGTTATTTTTAGAAATCAGACTTCTCTTCTGCTTTTCTTTTTTCTTCGTTTATCCCACACTTTTGAAACAAATATATAGCTACCTAGCTCTTTCATCTCAAAAAACTCAACATTACTTGCTAAAAGGGAAAAACACTGGGGAGGCGGGGGGGAAGAAAACCAGACTAAATGATCCAACTAAAACAATTTTCAAAAAAAATGTTAAGACTTATTTTTTAAAAATGGATCAATACATTTTTCTCTGACATTTTTACTTCTTTGGTCAGCACTAACTCAGCATATCATCATGCAGAAAGTTTCACTGATCTTGTTAGCAAAACAGAGGTCATATTTTCATAAAAATATTTTTTCTTCATCAAATGTTATGTTTTAAAAGCACAAATACATTTATTTTTGTCATCAGACATTCCTACCTACTATTTCCTCCTACAATTTTCTGAAGACAATTAATCATTATAGCCTCTGAATGGGAAATCCCATTTCCATTAAAATCTGAGCTCTCAAATGGCCCTCTTAGCTGTATTTCAAGATAATTATGGAGTAAAGTATCTTTTTTCCTTCATTTGTGTCTTTTCAAGGATTTCTTTTCAAGACAGTGTACGAGGGTAATCATTACTGTTTAATTTTCTTCTCCCAACACTGGAGCTGGTTTTTTTCCTTTCTTTTCTTTTTTTCATTTTTGGCTGCTATTGATGATAGTTGGTAAAGTGGATAGAAAAGCTTTAAAGTAATTATCCTGATTTTAGTATGTGGACCTTTAGAATTTTCCCCTGTACCAAATATCAGCTGTGCTAATAAAATATGCAGGCAATAGCTTTATTGCCATTAGAAATGGCAGCATAAGGAGCACCAGTATAAAAAGGCAGCTTAGGCATTTCTACCACCCGTTTCATTTAAATCCTAGCAGTTTCTGTGCATTAACTCACTTGTGGATGCTGCCTCTTTGTGGCAGAATGCCATTTAAATTGTACGTTTCACATTAAGGACCCAATCCTGTATTCAGACTGAACTAGAAACTCCCATTAATCTGGATTTTGGACGTACAAGAGACAATGTTTCATACCTCAAGGGTTACTTACTATCTCCAGGATCTGACCATTTAGCTTTTACTAAGAAAACCTCCTCTAAGTCAATGACCAAGTCAATTGGCTTGATTTTCTTCTCATTTAACATTAGTGTAGTCCAAATGAGTTCAAAAGAATCATTCTTGATTTACATCACTGTAACTGAGAGGAGAGCCAGGCCCACTAGCTTCAGCAATGATTCAGAGAGCAGAGCGTGGAGAAAGACCTCCAAGCTGGGAATTCACATCTCTCATTGACTTGAGTAATAAGAGTATACATGATACATCAAGTGCTGTTCCTTTTTGGGACAAATGAAGACTCTCAGGACCTAGATAAAAATCCACATTCCACTACACTAACCTGCCCAGAATACTGCATGATCATACCTATATATTTGTTGTGTTTTGTTTAGGTGGGGAAGGGAATAATGGAAGGGAAGAACACACCTCAACATATCATTCATCCTGAACGGCTAAGAGAACGGTTTTGCTGTTGTTCTAGAGATTTGTTTTACATCAGTAGGGAAAGCAGAATAGAACGGAGCCCTTCTCCAAAAAAAAAAGTACTAGTTGATGCTTGTGTAAGCAATATCACACATGATAACCTAGTGAAGAACAATAAAAATGTGTATGAAATATCACTTACCCTGTTCCATATATTAAATGAAGACTTTAAAGAGGGAAAAAATGTAAATATGAAACTATACTATTAAACACATAGCAATGTAAAAATTCCTGACACAGGTCACGTGTCTTGATAATTATAGTATATCGTATTTTTAAAATAAGCTAAAGAACAATGGGTTATGCCTAAAACCGTCAGTTCCCTTCTGCTCAAACTTGACTGCCAGTAAAAAAAGTTTCACATATGAACAGATGATTTTGGCAAGAAATTTTAAACTTCAGGGAATCATTACTTCATGTTATTCCATTTGAAATAGTTATCAAGTGTTTATTCAGAAACTATTAAAAAAATTACATGTGCTGGGATACATATGAGACACCAGATGTCCCATCTTACAGTGATGCCGCGTTTATGAATATCCTTGTCATTGCCTGCTGCCCAAAGGGGTAAAGACATTGTCTATAGATTTGTACAGTCCATCATTTGGTCTTTCAAGGTGCCAGTATACACATGGATCTGTACAAGTGCAATTGCATTTGACTAAACAATCAGAAATTGGCTACAACAGTAGTCAAATCATTATATTTTGGTTGACTAATGAAAAGTAACATTTTTTTTCCTGCTAAAATCAATGATTTCCACGTCACCCTCACTAGTTAGTCCAGCTAGTTGCTCTAGCAGGAGGTTCCTAGTAGTTACATCCTTAAAAAAGAGCAACACGATATTCATTTATCCTGACCAGATTGTGTGTCTTAGATTGTCTTTTAAGATTTGGTCATAATTAAAATTAACTTTAATGATTTCAAATGTCCTCCTGGTACCACGTCAGCTTTGGAAATAAAGCTCTAAATGTAGTGCAACACTTCTGAGCAGTTCACAGACTTTAGACCCCATCCTGAAAAACACTTAAACAACCAGGTATTTCTACTTGCGAGACCAGCAGCCCAGAGCAGGGCCCCGACCCTACAATTTTGGGGGCAGGTATCTTAACTTGTGGTTCACCCAGTGACATCTAAGGGACTACTCACACGAATAAAGTTGTTCATGTGCTTAAGCGTTTGCAGGATGGGGTCCTCTCCTGGGACTACTTTTCGTGAGTCCTCACGGGTGTAAGTATTTGCAGGATTGGACCCTAAAACAGTGAAGGAAAGATAAATGCCAGTGTGCATATAAAAATAGGTGCTACAATAAAATACTTTTTTCTTTTTTTATATATTTCATCAATAAGTTATTTTCACTAACCAGTTATGGATCATATATCTCTGCACTCTGTAATGATTTGTCCACATCTAAGGTGATCCTTTTAAAGATCGTAGTATATATCTATATATATATATATCTATATAAGTATAGAGAGATATATATATATAGTTTTGTTTTTTTTTAATTCAAAAGTCGAGAAAGCATACAAACACATCCTCTTAAAAAAAGGAAACCTTGTATTAAAGTCGGGGTGTGCTAATCTCTCTGTAAAAGCCTTTTTTTTTTTCTCAACTCACCCATGGCTAAAAAGGGCTCGAGGTGCGCTGCACGTCTTCAAACCAAAGAGAAAAGAAAAGGAAGCGATGCCAGAAACAAAAGGGGTTTTGTTTGTTGTTGTTGTTATTGTTGGGTTTTGTTTTGTACTTGTGGCTGGGAAGAGACCCCTCCCCG